GCCACCGGATGCTCGCAGAGGACCGCCATGGCGAAGTACTTGTGGGCTTCCGGGAGCCGTCGCACGACGTGCTGCGGCAGGCAGAAGTCCGTGGCCTTCTCGAAGGGAACATGAAGCATGAGCCACTGACCGAAGAAGCGGTCGTTGAACTTGGACACGGTCTCGGCGGCCACGACTTTCTCGCCCTGCATCACGTAGCTCGCAGCAAACTCCTCCAGGGTGGCCTCGCTGCCGGACTGCGCATGCTTCTTCTGCAGCCAGTGGCAGATCTTCCCTTCGGCCGTTGTCTTGCGTAGATAGTCGAGGAGGCTGATGCGGCCACAAGCCCAGTCCGCCTGCTGGTACAGCTCCACCTCGCGCGGCTGCGGGTCCTGGTCAGGGTAGGGCGCCACCAAATCGCGCTTGCCACCGCTCTGCGTGGAGAGTTGCCATTGCCGGAACTTGGCGCCGAAGAGCTGCAGCACCATCTCCGGCTCCAGCGGCCGATAGCGCATGAGCACGGTGGCGGCGATGCTCATGGCCTCCGCGTCGTCGTTCAGCCACTCCTCACTGGCCGCATCCGAGAACTTGCTGACGTACTTGGTGACGTAGGCACGGAGCAGGCCGTCGTCGTCGCACATCTGGAAGTCCTGGTGGCAGTGGAGCACCTCCATCAAGTCCACGATGTAGGGGCGCATCCCCGCCGCATGGTCGTCCTCCGTGTGCTGAAGGCGCCACGCGCCTGTCTCACGGTCGAAGCAAGTCGCTGCTTGGTGGACGGGCCAGCCGCTCTTCTTGTCCCGGTCGTACTGGCTGCCTTCGACATAGCCGCGAAGCTCCGCATCTTCAGGCAAAGTAGCAGACACAGTCTCCACCAGGTTTAATTGCTCGACGTCCTCGGGCTTGACAAAGATGACGACGTGCACGTGCACTCTGCCGGAGCCGTGGTAGTCCTGGGTGGCTGCCTTTCGGGTCCCGTCCTGATACTCGAGACGCAAGAAGAAGTGCAGGCGGCGGGCATGGCCCTGGTCGTCCAGAACACGGAAGATGTTGCTCTTCCAAGGCTGCTTCCCAGATCCGCCTGTATGCCCCAGCAGCAAGCCTTTCACTGCCTGGACCATGACGTGCACCATGTGCAGCGTCTCAGCGACCGGCAAGAACAGGCGCTCCTTGAGCAGCTTCTGCATCTCGTCGCGGACCCACTCGTGGTAGGGGAAGCTCCACTCGTAGGGGGCGATCGTGAAGAAGATGCGAGGGTAGCCGACTTGCCGCACCATGTCCAGCAAGGCATAACGCACGCCGCGCCAGTAATGAGGGCTGAAGGCTTCGCCCTTGAGCATGAGGCGCATGGGCGTCGGCAGCTGCAGATTCTTCTTGGAGCCGATGCTGCTCCAGAGGTTCAAGTCGTAGACAAACTGCAGCAGCTGGAAGTCGGCGGCATAGCCCAGCAGGCGACCCAGCGCCAAGGCGGCGAAGAGCCGCTTCATGCTGTGTCGGGCGGTACCAGCGTCCTCCACAGCCTCCTCGTCGGTGTCCTGGATTCTTCCTCATCGCTGTCGCTGTCGCTCTCGGCGGCAAGAAACGCAGTGTGCCGACCAGTGTTCAACACTTGCTCCAAGGTTGGGGCCTGGCTCTGACGAATCACCCGCCTGGGGCCCGTGGCACGCTCGTGCGTGAAGGTGTGCTTGACATCCCAGAAGAGGACGGGCCACAGAGCGCACTCCACGCCCACACGCTCGATGAACTGCAGCCGGCGACGGCGAGTAAGCTCATCTGCGCCGGGGTGATCCTGCAAGAACTCGGTGTGCTCGGCCACGAAGGTCGCGTGCGGAGTGTCGTCCGAGGCCAGCAGGAAGTCGTAGGCGGCACGGGCCTTCACCCGCATGTTCGCGTCCTGGCCAACGCACAAGTAATCCATTTGCATGGGTTATATCTGGGTAACTAGGCAGACAAATATTTATAGTTGTACAGAACGCCGTGCCTGCAACAGCTTGACGCGCTTCTTCACCGCCCTCGGCTGCCAACGGAAGCGGATCAAGGTTGTCTTCTGGCGGTACCCGGATTTGTGCTCGGCGCGAACGACCGGCCCCACATCGATCTCCAGAGGTGACAAGGCTTCTGCAGCTTCTGAGCTAAGCCCTCGCAGTGGCTCCGGCACATCTGCCATTGTCACAACCGGCTGTGCCCGCGCAGCTTGGCACCTGGAGCACTTGCCCGAAGCATGGGTAGGCTGCTGTGGCCTGCTAAGGCTGTTTTCCGTGAGGTCGTAAGGTGCGAGGAGGCCGCAGCTGGTGCACAGGCTCCAAGAATCATAAAGGCACCAGCGCTCGAAGTCCTCGGCCAACCGGCGTCGCTTCGCTGGCGGCAATCCTGTGGTGTTGTCCACGGCCTCGCCAGCAGTGGTGCGCTTGGCAGGCTGGCCCATGCGACGCCGCGCCCGAGCCCTGTCTGCCAGCACCTGCTCCCGATATTTCTTCTTCATCGCCGCTGATGCCGGGCCTCCAGCTGCTTGTCGCGAGGCCAAGGCACCCTTCCACAAGTCAGGGAGCTGCTGCTTGTCCGGCAGGCGCCGGCCACCCCGCCCAGCTGCGCGCTTGGGCGCTGCACCCTGCAGATGCGCTTGAAAGTATTATAGCTGCCGGCGGCAATCGCTCGGCCAGAGCATGGGCACGGCTGGCTGCTGACATGCGACGCAGCTTGCCCAAGACCTGGAACAGGGCAGGCAGTGTACTTGTTCGCTAGTCTCCAGTGCAGCCGCGCAGCACATGCGGCCCTGCCTCTCGCTTGCCCGCGTCGTCGTCGCAAAGTGGCCAGAGATCTTCGGGTCGACAGAAGAGACAGCGCGTGGCCTGGCCCTTCACCTGTACTGGGCCTCCACGTGCAAAGGTGCATCGCTCGCCGTCCATGCCCACGCACATCCTCGGCTTGGCCAACTCGGCTTGGAAGTAGCCGTGGAAGTCCTCCGGCACGCGCTCCAAGGCAAGGCGCTGACACTCAGGCGCCAGGGCCAGCAGCAAGCGTTTGATATGTCCGCGTGATCGTATCTGGACACAAGCGGCCGCCAAACGGTCCGGGTCACAGAAGACCTCAGGTTCGATTGGTAAGCAGGTACAGAAGCTTTCATTCGGTTCATCTGCAGTAAGTGCACATGTCGGAAATTTGCCTCGCTGTGCTGCGCGGCCGGGACTTCGCGCCGAGAAGCAACATGCAGAGCTCGCTGTGCCAGGACACACGGAGGGCATGGCTCGGACAACTATAAGACCGTGGGATGTGGATTCCAGCGCGTATTCAAAAAAGACTTCCAAGTGACGTTGAAGACTTCGTCGAGCCAGGGCAGAACGGCGCAACTCAAGCTCCACTCAAGCTTTACTGAAGCCTGCTCCAACAGCGCCAAGGAACGAGCATGATGAGGCAAGCCCTTGATTTTGTATGGCAAATAGAGTAGGGTGAAGCTGGTCGGTAAATACTGTACAATTCAAAAGGAGCGGGCTGTGCCTGTGCTACTTGCACTGCCACGACTTGGAGCATGACGACAGCCTGTGTGGACATTCAATCGTCTCCCGGCTCATTCTCCGCAACCTCCTCGACCACGTCGACCACAGCAGCCGCTTCTGGCGGTGCTTCTGCCTCCGTCACGGCAGCGTCCGGCACCAGATGGACTTGCTCACGCAGGCTCTTTGCTTTGGCTGCCATAGCCTGCATGCTATCGAAGATGTTGATCAGCTTCTCCTTCTTCGGTAGGCGCGTCATCTGCTTCAACGTCTGCAGAACCTTGGCAAGTCCATGCTCCGTCAGCACGGCCTCAGGCACGTTATCCAGCAGCGCGACCAGCGCAGACAACGGCAGTCTCTCCTTCTTGTTGTCTTGGTGCGCAACCATCGTCTGCAAGTCATCGGCAAACTTGACCACCTCAGATGCTTCCCAGGACAGATGCGGATCTGCGGCAGCCTCTTCCTCTGCTTCATCCTCCTCGTCGCCCACAGAGAGATCAACTGCAGCCGGCCTCTCCGCAGGTGGCCTCTCGGGCTTCTTCGGAGCCTTCGGCTTCTTTGCCTTCTTCTTCCTTCGGGTTTCTTCGGAAGCAGACGAGGAGCGCGACTCCTTGTCGCTGCCGGTGTCAGATCCTCTACCGCCCGAGTTCTGGTCGGACTCGGAGCCGGAGTCCTCTTCACCGGCTTCCCCGTCACTGCAAAGCCCGTTTCTTTCGTGGAGCCTTGGCTTCTAAGCGAGCAGCGTTGGTCGACGCCACAGCTTGCACACAACTCTCCAGAGTCTTCTTGTGGACGAACTTCTGCACGGCCTTGTCTTGCTTCGGCTCGTCTGGGATCTTCTTGGCCCAAGCTTTTGGGTTGGCCGCCAGGGTGCAGAGCTCCAAGCCGGCCATGGCACCTGCGTACATGCGGGAGCTGGTGTCCGCGAGGCGCGCAAAGTCTTTGACTTGCTGCTTCAATGCATCCTTCTTCCCCAATTTCTTCAGCACCTTGTCGATGTGGGGCGACGCCGAAGAAGCATCTGCACATTCCTTGTTCGTCATGTTGGCCACAGCGAGCGAGGCACGGAGGGCTTCCAGAAGCTTCTTGACGGCGGGAATCCCGGTCTGGCCGTACTTCTTGTCGACCGACGTCGTCGGCAGTACCGCCAAACAAGATTCCAGCGAAGCCGCGGCCAGGCTGACTCCCAAGCCTGGCCGTGCAATGCACTCGGAGGATTCGGCCGTGAGCTGCTCTGCCAGCTTCGAAGTAGTGAAATATTCGGAAGGAGATTGCTTCTCCGTCAGGAGCATGCAGCCATCCTCGTCCGGCCAGCTTCGAAGGAACGCCTTCACGGGTAGCTTGTAGAAGGGAATGCCCGGCGGATACTTCCCTTTGGTCTTGCCGTCCTTTGCGACGCGCTTGCCCGCCGATTTCCGCGATGTCCACTTGGCCATGGCTGCAGAAGACAGGAAACACAATAACAAGTAGGCCAAATCTGCCTGCTGATGCTGCTTGTACTCGGCACGGCAAGCGGAACACATGTGAGCACTGGCCCGGATGGCTGCTCTCAACTCGACAGACACGCGTGCGACGTGCCAGACAAGCACACAATCCAGCTTTTGTGCTTTTACAGCTGGCTCCAAAAATCGAAACGCGCATGGCTACATCACTGTACATTGCGCATTCCGTACATTGCTGAAGTCGCCAGCAAACAAGAATCCTCCTTCTTCGTCCTTTGGATACTGTTCCCTTTGTTGTTCGTTGCCACGACGCTAAAGTACTTGTGCCCAAAACAGGAACCCAAAATTTGTTCAAGACTGGGTCAGCCCAAGACTGCATCACTCCAAGGCTGGATCACCTCAAGAGCTGAGTCACCCCAGGACTGGGTTTGCCAGAACTGAGTCACCCCAGC